AATCGAAATCTATTTACCAAATAAAATATGATTTATATCAATATTGATATTAATCGATTATAAACAATTTTTTTTTTTGATATTAATCAATAGTCAACCAATAATTGCTAGTAATCAATTAATTATAATCGATTACTAGTGATTATTGGTTGACTATTGATAAATAACTCTCTAAAAAATTTCCTAATGATATTTAAATATATTTAATAAAATCTTATATTTAATATCTCTAGTCAATTAAAAAAAATTTTTTTTTAAATATTTTAAATATTTTTGTTTTTGTTTTAAATTTAGAAATATTAATATTAATAAATATTATTAATTTTTCTTGGATTAATAAAAAAAAATCCATTATTTGGTTTAAATTTTTAAAATTTTTATGTTTTTTTATTAATTATTACTTTTTAAATTTTTATTTAAATTCTATAATATTAATATTTTGAAAATACTTATATATAGATATTTACTTATTGTCAAATTTATATTAATTATTTAATGATTTTTGAGTTTTTATACAATGTTTCTATATACATTTAACTTTAATAATTATGTTTTCTACTTTAAACCTAACAAATTTAAATATTTTTAGTTACTTTTTATTTTATATAAATTTTGACTAGCTTCAAAAAAGAATATATACTATTAAATTTAATAATGCCAATACTTTAAATAAATATTTTATAACTCATAAATTAAAATATATATATTATATTATTAAGTAATTAAAAAATTTCAAAATACTGTATAATAAATATTGAATTTAATATTAAATTGTTTTAAAAAAATAACTGAAAAATTTGATTACAAATAAAATATTATTTTTATTATATCTTATATAATCTCAATACTAAATACTTTTTTTTAAAAAATGATAACTTTCATAGATTAGTTAATTATACATAAACTTTTTTGAAGAAAATATTTATAATTTGTCTTTAAGTGTGCAAATATTTAATTTTTTTTTATCTTTAAAAGAATTTAAACTAAAAACATATTGCTTTATTTTGAAATCAAAAAAAGCATGCCACCCAAAATACACAGATTGTTGATTGCTCTGCGAAACTTGTAATAGAAACAATCAATTATTACACTGTTGGTTTATCAGAATAATAAATAGACTTCATTCTTTTAGTGATCATATGACAATTGTGTCATTCAGTTAATATACAAATTTTAATCTTTTTCGACAATGCGTTGAAGATGTTCATCAATTTCAGCAACAGACAATGTTCTGAATTTTGGGTCATCGCGTGTAACAACGCCAACTTCAATTTCAGTCGCCTTAAAGTCAGCTGATAAAACAGATGAAAGAGTATTAATGGCTAACTGTAATTGTTAAAAATGATTAGTATAAAATGACCATAAATTTAAATGATTAATAAAAATTAACAGTATACCTCTATTGTATCTTCAAAACTTAGAGAAGGATCTTTTTTGAGTTTCTTTTCTAAATGATTCAAAGACTCTTGTTGTTTAGCACCAGCGGCGGTTGCTTTATATCCAACATAATAACCAGCTGGGTCACATTTAAAAAGTTGCGGGCCTCGTTCATCATCATATCCGATCAGGATCATTGCTAGAAAATATGTGGATACTACAATTAGAATATTCTGTAAGCCAATTTCAATATTTTAAATAACTTACAAACACCCAAGGGCCTCATTTCAGCCCGTTGCGTATAGACTTGGTTTATATTGGCCACTCTCTTTGCAAGCATATCTGCAGGAATCTCGTAACCAAACTTGTAACGAAATTCTGCGGCTTCCTGTCGGGCCCGAGTTACTTGCGCTCGGGCGTCAGCTATTAAAAAAAAGAATTCCGACATTAAAAAAAATATTAAGAAATGAATTCAGATATCATACCGACCGATCAAGCCCGTCATAACGCAACCGACATACGGGGTCAATTGAAAGACATGCGTAACAGTGGATGGATCCAATAACTTATCCTATGTATATAAAACAAGAACGTCATTTAAAAATCAAATTTCTTTTTTTTTTTTAGTATAAAAATCTGAACTACTTACCGGAATTTTTTTTTGCGTTACGATAACTACACTGTCCTGACCGCGAACACCCACCGACGTCATATTAGAATTTGATATCGCCTTGAATGCATATTCTATTAATAAAAGTTATATCAATCGAGTATGAAATCAATATAGAAAATATTAATTCGTAAAAAGATATTCCTCAATATTTTACACACCAACTTGATACAAGCGTCCTTCAGGAGAGAAGATGGTAATATGGCGATCGTAACCTGCACTAGAGCCTATGCGAAGGAAAAATAATGAATATTCGCGTTGTCCTAAAGTAAATCATTATTTAATTGCAAAATTTACCGCGACTACTCATTTGAGAATTCTAACAACTTCATCTGCAAACCTGAGGAATATTAGTGTGTAATCAGTTACGTAACGTAAAGTTTTTCACGTGATTAAAATTTTATAAAAAAAAAAATTTACGTCACACTTATCTCGAAAAATGCGAACAAAACGAACGAAACAGTATAAACGTCTTATGGCTTTATATTCCTTCTCCTTTGGCTTCAGAGAACCTTATCAAATTCTAGGTAGCATTGTTTTGCATTGCATCAAAATTACTTAATCTTAAGTTAATGCCTCACCGTTTGTTCGAAAAGTGGACGGTGATTTTATGTATACCGCGCTAAAGTTTAAAATGGATATTTGCAAACAGCTACGTACAGTATTGCTTGGAAATACAAAGCAAAGTATGTTCTGTATACATATTTTAAAATTTACAATTTTTGACTTTTTTGCTGCCTCACTTTCCAGTGTATACTTCTTGCACCTTGGCAGAAGTAAGAAAGAGAGGTGAAGGGTGGAGTGAGACGGAAATGGCTTTGGAGCAATTCGAACGACGTGGTTGTTCGCATAAGAAAAGACTTGTTTCGAGTACAGAATGTTTAGCTTCGATTATAGGTTCAATGGATTTCTTTAATTTTATTTATTGAAATATTTGACGCTTCTTGCACATACACTGAAATGGTAATATTTCCAAACTCACGAAGCAAGCGATAATCCTCATAATTATTGCGTTGCTACTCAAAATGAATCACTTCGTGAGCTATTTAGAACCGTCCCTGGTGTTCCATTATTATATATAAATAGATCTGTTTTAATAGTTGAGCCACCTTCTGGGATCACTCTGGAAAAAGTAAAACAGGTAATGTTCATAATTGTGCATTTATTAAATTCTGTCTAATTTTAAATTGTTATTTACACTATGTATTAAGATTGAAGTTGAAAAAACTCGAGCACCTCACGATGAGATTAAATTTTTAAAAAAAGCAAATTCCAGCACAATCAATAAAAACAATGGTGAACATGCTAAAAAACAAAAGAAACGTAAAGGCCCTAAAGAACCTAACCCTTTGAGTCGCAAGAAAAAAAAAAGTGATTCTTCGTCTGCACTCGGTGATACTCAAAAAAGCGTAAAAAGCAAAACATATACGAAAGAAAAGGTATTAAATAAAATTTGTTTAAATAATTTAAGCTTCATATTAACGTATTGATGTCTTTATAGAATACAAATAGCATCAAAAGAAAACACGATGAATTATCTGATGATATAAATAATCCGATTCCACTGAAATTGCAGATCAAAGATGGAAAAACCAACAAGAATAGTGATCATATTGATAGTATGGAGTTTGCACAAAAAGAAGCTCCGGGGCATCTAAAAAGAAAAAGAAAAAGGAGGAAATTAAAAAAGAATTTAAACGACAGCGCGGGAGTTAATAATAATGATTTTTCGTGATTTAAAATAATTTGGAGATCTCTTAGAATTAGATAAATGTAAATAATTTAATCAGATGGTTGTAATTTATTGAGTAAAAATAAATTAGAAACATGGATTTACTTTTTAAATTTATTAGGTTACAAGAATTCCATCACTTTAATTTATTATCTATCAACTTTTAAAAGATATATAGTTTGTGAAACAAGATAACTGGAATTTTGTTTTTAATATTGTTTGGGTTTTGGATTGTAACCATATGGTCAAAAAGAATATAGTCAAAATATTAACAGTCTTGTCTATTAGTAACCTGGAAATCAATATGTTATGATTATTTATACTAATATTTAAAAGTTAAATAAAAAAAACAATTTTTTGATTTTTTATTTAGCTTTGATATATGCTTATAATCCTGAAAATTAAAATCAAATAGACTTATATAGACTTGCATAAGGTTCAAAACATTATTAAAAATAATGATAAATTATAACTTATATAGTAAATTTAATATAAACCTGAAAATTGAAAATCAAATCAAATCAAATTATTAGGATCCTTATATATACTAAAAGATAAGTTAATAGTAATAAGCTGATATGAAATTATTTCAATATGATATAATATGTATCTAGAATAATTTATAGATAATACTTTTTATAATTAGAAATATAAATATAAACTAAATAAAATATGTTAAATAAAATCTTATTAGTTAAAAAAAAAATAAAAAAAAATAAATCTATAAATTTATAATATAATAATTAGTATTTTATAAATCAAATCATAAGATATTAATTTATCTTTATATAAAAATAATTAAATAAAATTAATATAGTATTGTAGTGTAACATGACAAGTCTGTCACTTTGATCTGACTTATACCATATAATAGTTATTAAATTGTATTGCTTCAAAATATATATGTATATTTTTAGTCAAGTATATATTGTTGATCTATTAATTTATTATAGTTTATTGGATATAATCAACACTTTTTTTAATTGCTTTACTTGTTACTTTTATACTTCTTTACTATATACTTGATATATCTAATATATTCAATATACTCAATATACCTGATATATTTAATATATTTAATATACCTAATATATCTGATATACCTAATATATTTAATATACCTGATATATCTGATATACCTAATATACTTATTAGATCCAATAAATCTAATTAGTCTTTTCTATTTATTTATTCTTTTATATAAACATTTTTACTTTTTTTTTTTTTTTTTTT